GTGGGTATTATATTATTGATTTGGGTACAGTTTTTAGTGTGCTAGTGGGTATTATATTATTGATTTGGGTATAGTTATTAGTGTGCTAGTGGGTGTTATATTATTGATTTGAATACAGTTATTAGTGTGCTAGTGGGTATTATATTATTGATTTTGGTACAGTTATCAGTGTGCTAGTGGATATTATATTATTGATTTGGGTACAGTTATTAGTGTACTAGTAGGTATATTATTTCCTATTTGACATCCAATCAGTAGTAGAGAACACTTTCATTATCCATGATGAAACTGAATTGTATCTGTTTGTAAGCACGTATCCACAGGTTTTTATCTTCAGATGGTTTAGTTATAAAATAGGTTAAGGGATAGTGCTTTCTTAGGCACAAGTAAATGCCGCTCACTAAATGTAAGTGACAATCTAAACATGTATAAAAAAAGTGATTAAATAATGCTCACTAAATTTAAGTGACAATCTAAAGAGGGATAAGATTGAAAAGGACACACAATACAGATCAGTAAAGTACAATAAAAAGTAGTTCACTAATAAGTAAATACACTGTATAGTTTCCACATTCATGAAGTGTTGAACAAGTAAATAAATTAAACATAAAAATGAAAGACAGCAAAACAGAAAGTAAATAATTTATTAATTTTGAAGCAAGTAATACGAGTAATTAAAAAAAAGTCATGTAAATTACATTCCAGTAAAACTTAAGATGGCCATTTCACATAGAAGTTTAAAACACAGAAAATTTAACATGTGATATTATGCAGTTAGGGCTTAAGCTACAGCTACTCTAAACACATGAACCAAATGTCCTTTACACATGCAGCTTATTCATACTGAAGTTCTTTCTTTTAAAAGTGTATCTGCTGTTTTCAGTACCGTGGAACTATATATCAAAGGTTACTCACCCTCGGTTATAGGGTCGACATTCACCATGCACCTTGTCCCACCCACAGTATGGATCTTGTATACACCGCAGACAAGTCTCGTATCTTCCCTTACACATCACCAAATCAAACTGATGAATCACTGACTTCGAAGCCACATACAGTGACTTATGCTGGAGAAAAATAAATTAACACAAATAATTCTAGTGATAGACTTTTATAGTTCAGGGATTCCAATAATAAGGCTTAACACCTAAACATATTTTGTACACGTACTCAAACTTCTCTATGAAACAAGGCTTCAGTTAAGCATTGTGATGTTAGTGCATTATGTCATAGCAATATCAAAATTTTTAATACAGAACAAGGCTTGAGTTGTGTCCCGTCAATCTTCGCCACCCTTATCGAATCGTATAAACTTGTAAATTATTACCTTGCTAGAGATTTCCATTTTCCGAATCTTTTCGGGAAATGTGGCTTCAAACACATCTACAAGATTGGAGTGAGCATCTCCCACTCCGTCCTGCCACTCAACAAGCTTGAAAACTCGTCCATCCACTGAGCATTAAGAAAACGAAAATAGCTTCAAATCACTAGTTACTAATGTTTGAATAAAGTTAATATATAAAATAACCTTCATTACATAATGCTGTTGAAGTTTATTAAGTACCAGTTTATTAAATATTATGATTAAAAAATTCAAAAGATAAAAATATTATTAACAAAAAAGAAAAATGTGTATTTTGTTATATAGATATACCATATCTGTTTTCATCATTAACTAATTTCTGTAACTTTGACTAGAAACGATTTTTGTAAGGGCACAATATAATGTGATTCAAGTATTTTAATTAAAATATACCTACCACTGCCAGCATAATAAATAGTGTAGGGGACTCCATCAACATCCAACGTATCCACAACCAAACTGGTCAATATGACATCTCGCTTGTAATACACGGGTTTTCCATTTTTCTGAGAAACTGCAGAGTCCATCAAAGGATGGCCACGAATAAAGTTGAGTACCGAGTCAGGCAGCGTCTGGGTGTTGTTAACACACTGTCCAGGGCGAGGCTCTGGCACCTTTACACTGATAACAGGCAGCCAGGCGGAGGAAGAGGTAGCTTGTTCCTTAAACTTTCCATTGAACACTTCTTGGATGGAATCCAAACTGAAGGTACAGATGGCCGACCCTATCAACCCATTTCTATAATTGGATCAGATTAGTAAAAAGACTTTAATAAATATTTCCTAACTTCTGAAACCAGACTGCCTTTTTCTTACTGAAATAAGCTAAGAATTCAACATCCTGTATAAAGTTACTAGCAAGAAATTGTATTTCCTTCAGTTGATCATGTGTAATTAACGCATCTCTCTCAAGGAAAGGTTACATAATTTTGCATCAAATTACATAAACAACTGCTTGTAACCTTTCAAAATATTATATTTACGTACTAAGGTGAGTATACAGTGTCACTATTGATCCAATTCAGTGCCAGCCTTTCCCAGGTGGGCCACACAAAATATTATATTTACGTACTAAGGTGAGTATACAGTGTCACTATTGATCCAATTCAGTGCCAGCCTTTCCCAGGTGGGCCACACAAAATATTTGACAGGCTTTGCCTTCAAGATGTGAATATCACCAGTGTGTTAAACACATTGGTTGGGGTGGCTAAGGTAAATTTTGGGGTGGTTATAGCCCTTTCAAGCTCCCCCTTAGCACCACCCCTTATATTGATAACTACAGCTGAAAACTTACCTGATGTAAGACAAACTGAATATACATGCACGTACAAATAAACAAGCAAATATATAATCTATTTTGATAAAACTGGTACAAAAAAACAATTCATATTAGTAAATGAAAGAATAAAAAAACTGCCCTCTCTCCTTTATCTTCAAAACCTAGAGCAAATAATGATAATAATACATTTGAACAATTAAATAAACTTCAACGAAATAAAAAACCTTCTTGCTAATCAAAACAAAATTCTAATGTTTCACAAATCATCACTGAAACAAATGGAATGGAGGATCATTAAATGACAAGGGTGACACACACACACACACACACATTGGAGGATCGTGAAAAGACAAGGGTGACACACACACATTGGAGGATCATGATAAGACAAGGGTGACACACACACACATTGGAGGATCATGATAAGACAAGGGTGACACACACACATTGGAGGATCATGAAAAGACAGGGGTGACACACACACATTGGAGGATCATGAAAAGACAGGGTGAAACACACACATTGGAGGATCATGGAAAGACAAGGGTGACACACACACATTGGAGGATCATGGAAAGACAAGGGTGACACACACACATTGGATGATCATGGAAAGACAAGGGTGACACACACATTCAAGTTTCTACTCTGATTTCACTTGAGACAACCGATACTTACGACGAGGTTGTGAACACAGCATAAAATGTGCTATCGTCGTCAGGAAGCTTATACACACTTTCTGTAAAACATGAGGAAAGATCAGTATGTAAAACTGATATAAAAAAAACATTGCAAGTAAATACTTATGCAATGAATATCAACTTATTAAATAATAGTTCAAAATGAATCATGAAAAGTCTTACTTAAAGCAACACTATTGGAATATAATTCATACAAAATTGGTACACGCTTATTACTACCATACACAATAAGAATTATTCATTCAGCTGCATGGAATACAAGACAAACATTGGAAAATTAGGAACAAAACTGCACCCCATTCTTAAGATTTATGAATAATCAAGCCAAACGTTTTTATGAGTTTATCAAACTTCAAGGTTAAAGAAGTTAATTTTTTGATTTGTTCACACCCAGGAAAACTGCCTTACATAACTTGGAAAATCACACTGTGTATATCAATCTCCAAGTTTAAAGAAATCACATCAAGTAAAGAACCAAGTTTAACATATTCAATATAACATTTTTTGATTTGTTCACACCCAGGAAAACTGCCTTACATAACTTGGAAAATCACACTATGTATATTGCTTCAAGGTGTTTAGTATTTCTTTCAAACAATAGATTTTATTCATTTATATTATTCTAAATGGTTTAAATAAGTAGGAGATACATACTCATTGAAAAGAAAATAAACACGTCAAAAATATAATGATCTATAATTTAGATTTAGAAGAAATAGTTCCTTTCAATTAAAAAAACAATAAAGTAGAAATCGTGCATTTTGTATGGTACAACATTTACCAAATAAATTCTGATCTTATCTCTGACAATGTCTTTCATGTTTTACAAATTACAACTCTGAAATTGAGTCTTTAAAATACTCTACAAAAAACAAATCTCTTGAGCAAAAACTTACGAATTTCATTAAAATAAAATGGAAACTCTCCAGGAATTGAACAATTTAGACGAGCTTTCACAAATGATGCCCAGTTCTTGTTAAGAATGTTCTTTCCCCCTGTGTCTCTCTACATCAAAATGAACATAATTAGTATGCTACAATCATGTAAATTTGAGGAAATTCACAATTACACATAGAGAAAAAAAAATTCATAAGAAAAAACAGAAATATTTACAAAGTAACATTAATATCTTATTTATTGTTACTATACTAAAACAAAAGCAGTCATCCTAAAGTACTGGTATAGATTCTTTCAGAATAAATAACTTACCGAATACGGGTAACTGTCTACAATCCAGTAATGGTTATTTGCACTATACATAAAATATTTTACCATTTGATCTTTAAATCAAATACAAAAATAATCAAGTAATGGGGAATTCATTCAGAATATATCATCAATTAATATTTAAATCAAACACAAAAATAATCATGTAATGGGAAATTCATTCAGAGTATATCACCAATTAATCTTTAAATCAAACAAAAATAATCAAATAATGAGGAATTCATTCAGAATATATCATCAATTAATCTTTAAATCAAACACACAAATAATCAAGTAATGGGGGAGTTCCTTCAGAGTGTATAATCAAAACACATTAAAACACTATAAAAATGTTGCCAGGTTATTTCCATCTCATTCCAGGAATCAAATGCAGCAACTCTGATATACATCCCATTGCTTGCTGGAATTTTGCTAGTTTACAAAAATAGCCAATAACTATTTCAAAATCAATTTTTTAAATTTAAAATCCCCCTACATAATTTAAATTACCTTAAAAAATAGTTTATTAGCAAAGACATGAGAACTATGGGTGCAAATGGTATGGAAGCACCCCCGGATTGACATACAGAGCACCTGTGCATGCACGATTCCCATCATATACAGGAGTTTTGATTTTGCCAATTATTTTTCAGCAACCCACTCCAAAAATTGTTCTAGCATCAATGTTTATTAGTTTTGTTAGTTATCTGATAATATAAAAATATTACTTATTTATGCTTGTTTACACATACAGGTAAGTTAGTTATTGGAAATAAATTGACCAGGTAAACTGTGCACTGAATATCAAGTGGAATTAAAATGTCTCATTTTTGCTTAAGTGGATAAAACCAATCAAAAACTGAGAAAAATGTAAAGATAACAACCAATTGTCCTACACTTAGGTGGTGTAACCTTCCTGCGAGTCCATTTCTCACTTATGTATGCTGGTTTAATTATGTATACCACTTCTGCAAAAGGTATCTGTGTACCTCTCCACAGAGAAACAAACATGATACACTCAAATTTTCACTAGATTCAATCTGAAAGTCCACCAAAATTAAAAATGTAGTTAAAAAAATTAAAACTAAATTTTAATTTAAAACGTTTTTTTCTTTTTTAATTATTTGTCGAAGTATTAACTGAATTTTGGGATAGTCTATATTTCTTTACATCTGGAGCTGTTCACGGTAGTGACCAATTACCACCCTCACACTTAGTTTAAGTTTTATTCTTACTTCCAAGAAAAAAAAAGTATTCTTCTTTTTGACAATTTTGCAGTCTTAAACATATGATTAATACAAAATTCACACCAACTCTTTTCATACTTGCATGATGTCTTTAAAGACTGCAAGAATAGAGCATCAAGTATTTACTAATCTTCTTACATAAGCATAAATTATTAAGCAATTTTTGAGAACTACATAGATATAAAAGAAACCATATAACAGTGGTCCCCAACAGCTGGCCCACAGGCTACATCAGGTGCTTGAAAGCCTAATTTGTGGCCCTCATTATGATCAGATATTTCTCCGTTATTGATTACAAAACTCAAATAGTAAGCAAACTGTATTTGGGGAATGATTTATTGTCCAAGAAGCTTAGGCCCAGTCTTTGGCTTTGTGGTTATCATCTGAAGTGGCCCAGTGTGGAAAAGGATCGGGGAACATCACTATATAATCTTGTAATGGTGACTTAATTTTGTTATAGAATATGATATCTGAAGAAAACCTATCACTGAAAAGCATAGATATTTTTTCAAAATTTCTCACTAACTAAAAACTTTAATAAATTCATGTAGAACATAATCCTGACACTTTATTTAATGCCTACTATTTCTACAATACAAATATTTACATAAAAGTTATTGTCATCACATATCAAATGTTTCAACTTTCAAGCTCAAAGTCTTTTACCTGACAAAACAAAGAAACTCATAGTTATGTCTGACAAGTCAGCAATATTTTAAACACATTAAGATTTATTTTAACTACATAATGTTTTATTCAATGGGCTCAATTTTATTATTTTGTTTCTTTCCAGTCTGTATAAGAACTCACATAGTATGTAAGCACAAAAGTAGTGATTCCCGTATAAGATATTGTACTATTTTCACTTTTAGTTAATATACATCAATCATTTACAAATATACGATATAAGTACTTCTGCAAGAGGTACAAAACTTCTCAAGCAACAATTTTTCCAGTAACAAAATGCAAGTTAATTTTAAATCTCCTGTTTTAATAGAATTGATGTACATTTTTAAACAATCAACAATTCTTAGTTTAAAGCATTGTGATGCAGACACTGTTATTCATAATGATACTGATAGATGTTATCTTACCTTACAGACTCTAGCAACACGAGTGTAGATATTCTTCCCACAGTTAATGTACTCAACTGCACTTTCTCGAAAGAAGAAAAAGACGTACTCTCCAATGTCGTAAGAACCAACAAACTGAGGCTCTAAAAATATACTGATATTTCAATACAGCTTCTACAAAACAATCAAGTTTTTTTGACAGCCAGTCACGTACGATATTAAATGTAACAGAGCACATGATGTCCAATATTTTTACATATAAGATGGCAATTTATCTCTTGAATGAAATAAGAATATCGTGTTCTAGAAGTACATGCTTTTTAATTACTACACATCATTAATTTAAGAAACATAAAACATTTAAATAAATTAAAGTTGAAAATCACTAATAAAACTCTTAATTTATCTGACTAAATTTTATGTTTAAAGACTACAGACGTCTTGCTAGTTTTCTTTACAATGAGTCCACGGCTAAATACTTAGAACAGATGAGGTGCAGCATTTCTTTTCAAACCACTTAGTGTAATTTTTCACCAACAAACTCTACGCAAGTCTCTTTCTTTTAAAGAAATAGAAGCTGGTTAATGTTAAGCATAAATAAAGTGTTATACTTACTATCCAGCCATTTTGAATCATATTTAATAGTCCGACTAAATGGATGAACTCTTCTTCCAGTTGAAGTGTCATATAGATCTGTACGAAATATGACCGTGTCAGCCTTAGTGAATTCAGCCACAGTGCCACTATACAGCCCTGGTAGTTCCCCTGGATTTCCGTGTTCTTTAGTAGGAGATCAAATATGTGAAATGAGCCCTACCCAATGTTTTTAAATTTTATTGGGCATGTATACCAAAAACAAGTATTCATTTATTACAGAATCTAGTTGACTTTAAATGAAATATTTTCAAAGTCTTACTTCTTACAAAAAGAATCCAGACAGCTCTCACTGAACTACCAGTTCTATTCATTTAACAAACAAAACTTTATACCTGTAGACATTAGTACGTTACCATTACCCATTACAGCACAAACAATGCTTTATTAATTAAGTTTCATTCACTCACTACATATAAACAAAAACTAACTCAACTATATAAAATCAGACTGCAACAACAGTTAAGACGATGAGCGTAAATAGAGAATAACAGGTCTTAATTTTTAAAAGAATCATGAAATAGAAAAAATTAGGTACAGAAGTGTTACATGTATCATCTCAATAAATATACAACATTAGATCAGTCAATTTTTAGCAAGAACAGTGATATACAAGAACCACAGTTTATCATGTAAATCGAGTTAAATTTTGAATTATGTTAGCTCACAAAAGAAAACATGTCAGTAGTTTGTTTTATAAGGTCATTTGTTAGCAGCATTACATCTTTCAGTGTATTAGTAATTTTTATTTTTTTACAATTCCAACTTAACTTACGAATGGCAGTAATTTACATTTTTTTGCAAAAATGAAGATATTAGGACTTGTTAAAAAAACAACAGAAGTCCAGTAGCAAACTGCTAATTTACTTACTATATTTGCCCGAATATAATGCACACTTTTTAATTCCAAAAAATGGACTGCACATCATATTCACACACACATTCAATTTTGTTAGATATTTTACCAGAAGCTACCACCAAAAATTATTAAAGCATCATTAAAAGTTTAAAAAAATGTTGCATATCCAATGCATTCGATGAGATGGATAATGATGGATGTGTAAATCAGAAGAGGATGAAGCAAAGGTTCAAGGAAGCAAATTTTATGGTAGTGACAATGAAGATTTATGTGAAGATAAATGATTTGTAAAACTGACATGTGAAAGATTTCCAAAAATGTTTAATACATCAATAGTTGTTTACAGTATTAAGAAACTATTCAATACATTTTGTACAACTGATGTGTATACAAAAAAAACAATACTCTTCAATTCAACCTTTCAAAATTGGGTGTGCATTATATTCAGGCAAATATGGTAAATTATTGCACATCCAATAAAAAAAAAATATTTTTTTTTAGCCCTTTGTCAAAAATAAATTTTAATGAAAATACTACAACATGAGAAGAAGCAAGTTTTCAATTTTACTTTGTTGAGAGAAAGTTTTGAATCCTTGATGAGAAAAGCTTCCTTTATCATTAATTCCTCATCTTCATAAGCTGAAGAAGTAAGTTAGAAGTGATTAAATGAAATTGAACTGTTAATAAAAGATGTTTATCTGTGGGTGTTGACATTGGATTGGTTGAAGATAGAGTTTGACAGTGTTCTTTGAAGCATCTTTGACATTTTTATGCTACCAAAATCTTGTTCAGATGTGGACTTGAAAACAAAAGCACCCTTGCTTTCCAATATGCTAAATTACAAGAACTAATAAGGCTTTTACGATTCAAACTCATTTGATTATTTTCAAGTTATCTTCTTTTATTTCAAAAGTTATTAGGCTGCTAATCCATGTACTTGAGAGATGGCTCGTGGCCTATTCACAAAATTGCATTATTTGAGTGATGACAGGGATAGGAAAATAAAAACTTTTGTTTTCGTATTTGTTTTGAACAGCACAAAGCTTCAATAAACACGTATAAAAAAAGTGATTAAATAATAATGCTCACTAAATGTAAGTGACAATCTTTAATCACTTTTTTATACATGTCAACAACAATTACCATTTACATTCCTTTACAACAGGTTTTTGCAAGATGTGACCAAAGCCATACCAAACATTTGTGAAGATTGTAAGTTTATATTTAATGTGTAATTTTTATTATAATTAGTAAAATGTTTATAGTAAGGATTTACCACGTTTGGAAACATTTCTCAAAGATACATGTCAGCTATAACTCAAGTTAAAGTTTGAGTGGGAGTCGGAGATATTGTTAAATACTATATTAATCGATAAATGTAATTTTTTTTTTCAGCTAGAAAGTAAGCTGCTTATGGAGACCTTATAGTTGTTGGTTTCACTAAAAATTTCATTCGTGATGTTTCATGTTTAAATTAACCGACCTTATTGTAACTTAGAAATCAGAGTTTAATAAAATAAAGTTAGATATTTAAGCATTAATTTTATTTATATAATATTTAGGTGAAAAGAAAAAGTTGATGAATGTTTACTGGGGCCAAAGTGTGCATCTTGCATGTGCAGTGCATGCAGAAGAGATGAAGAGGTTAGAATTAGGCACTATCCATTGGGTGCACTACAGTAGAGACAAGAAGAAGATTTTGGTGAGCCAACGACGAGACAAGTACATCATCACCTCTGATTATGGGTTGGTGATCATGGCCATGACTGATCGTGATAGTGGACGTTACGACTGCAGGGTGGGAACTCACACTCTATGCAGCTACAACGTTACAGTGGACTCAAGTAAGAAACCGCTTTAAAAATTGGAGTAGTCTTTCAAGAAAAGAAACAACGTTGTATGTGTGCGCGTGTATGTATATGTATATATTCTGGCAGACATCTCAAAACAAGCCAATCATTTAAGTAACTATTAAAAATTTGTCAAAAATCGTTTTACTGT